AGTGTCTACTTTCAGAATCTGTATCGCTTTTGGTTACAAAAGTGGTTTTTCGCGGATTTTGAGCAAGTTTTCTAGGAGCCTCGAAAAACCGGGTCTTCAAATAATAGCTTTTTCCTGGATACTTATTCAATTAAAATTTTTCTAAACACACAGATTTGTAGAGCAAACGTTTCTGATCAAAATGAGACCCCGCACAATTCTGTATGACCTTGCATCAAAAAGTTACAAGCATTTTTCTAGAAGTTCTAAAATTGAGTATTCTATACTCTCTAAAAAAATGGTACTCTACCGAATCTAAAAAGGGTTTAAACTTTTGTCACCATCTATATACCTTTTTAAGGTTTTATACAAACTACGAAACCTTTACAGAACCGTACAGCATCGTAAATCCGCCACTGGAAAAAAGTTGTGTAAAAATACAAAAAGATGTGTTTTCGCAGTGTTCCCAAGCTTTTCCCAGTCACGGATTTAGCTAAGTAAAATGGTATATAGTTTGTACGAAACCTTAAAAAGGTATATAGACAGTGATAAAAGTTTAAACCTTTTTTAGGCTCGGTAGAGTACCTTTTTTTTAGAGAGTACAGCGTTTAATACAGCGTTCTTTATATAAGAGTTACATCTGAAGTATTTTCCAAGATTTTTTATAGCGGTTTATCGTACACAGTTCATTCCTTTTTTGTTTAAAAGAGGAAAAGAAACTACATGGTCTGACCGGCGCCGATTTTTGAATTAGGTCTTAGTATTTTATCAAATTGAGAATTTTTAGAAAATCTGAAAGGAGTTTTCGGGTTTGGAAGGTTGTTGGTTGCCTGGAAAACCAATAAAGACTTAACTGAAAAATCGGCGCCGGTCAGACCATGTAGTTAGGTGTCTAGTTTAAAACAAAACAAACCCGAACTCTCCAGCTTGAAGTATGTTAAAAAATCTTCCACGGTCCTTTGTGAACCTTGATCTGTGAAAAACTCCTGAACGGTAAGACTTAGAGACAAAAAGCTTTTTTCATTTTCGTAACTCATTAAGCCAAACATTTATGGAAAGTTTCGTCAAGATCGGACGTACGGTGTCGGAAATAATTTGTGAAGGATGGGAGAGCTCTTAAAAGGATAGATTTGTGTCGTATTACCTCGTAGGTGGTCAATTGTTTTGTACACTTTTTTAGTGTATTGATGGCTTTTTGATAACTAAATGCACGCCATTTATCATTTGTATTACGATATAAATCAGCCAATTCCTAAATACAAAAAATCATTGAAAATATTAAATACAAGTAATAAAAGAGTTTGATACTTACCGTTAATTTGTCAATAACATCTTGATTTGGATTTTCAGATGCAAATGTTGCTGATTCTGAACATACCCAATGACCTTTCTAAAAATGAACTATAAAATTGTTAATTATGTTTAAACATAAACAAAGTAATCAATTTTTACTGGAAGTGATTGATTTTTTTTCATCAAATCGTCTACCGTTGAATCCTAGAAAACTACATAATCGAGATGAATGAGATATATTGAATAATTCTAAAAAAATATGTTTTACCTTTGTATAATCGTCACTATCATTTTCTGAGTCAGATGAATAGGAAGATGGTTGTCGTATTTTTCGTGGCGATATTGTTGAGATTTCATCATTTGCTTGTTTAAATCGTGGAGATCGTCTTAATTCAACATTTCTATCTGCCGTTTGTGATGATGATGATGATGATGATATTTTTATTTTTTTTGAAGGTGGTATGATATTTTCATTCTCATGTGATACTGTTAAGATATAATTATGAATAGGTAACAATTGTTTTGATTTAATTGAATCACTTATCCATAGTGTTCTGATTAGTATAGGTTTATTACTGTTCTGATACTGTTGAAAAACATTGAGTATTTTATCTAAGACAACGTGTACATCGAGACTATCTTCAATTATGACATAATTCACTGTTGTAATATCGTACTTGTCAACGAGATTTAAATGAAATTTTTTTACTAAGGCATCTTTAAACACTTGTAAACGTCCTTTTCCAATGGAATTTGGTAATAAATAAAGAACTGATGACTCTAGTTGATCATCACTGGTCATACTATCTAAAAAGACAATAAAAATCATATGTATAATCATTATTTCTTCGTATCCGTATCAATTTCTCCTCTTGTCCAACAACAACGGTATATATTTAATGGGTGAACCAGAATAAATGATAGTCCAAGTATTTCGTTAATATCTTGCTCAATTTTCATTGTCCAGGCTTCAACTTTTTTTTTCCTTCAAAAGATTCGTCATTTCATTCTCTACAAAAAACATGTTGAACATTTTTTTATATATCGTGGAAAATAAAAGAATATAGATGGAATTTCCATTACTTTCAAACTCCAAACATAACGAAAAGATATTTATTTTGAACATGATGTGCACAAAGTAGAATCAAAACGTATGTTTTGCTGTTTCATAGTATCGTCTTTCTTTTCATGTATCAGAGGTTAGCTCTGAACGTGTTTTTCTGTTACAAAAGGCAATTTTACTAGAGTCTACCAAAAAAAACAAAAATTTTCATCTATTCACCTTGCCACTGGAAATAGGGCCATTCTTCTGTTTGGATGTAACAGTAGAATTATTTTCCTTTAAGATAAGACAAATCAGGCCTCAAAATATTTGATTTTGGCCGATTTATAAAAAATTTCCCAAGAAGCTGCAGCAATGAAAACGACGACTTTTAATAACATCGATATAAGCAAAAACTTCTCCCGCAATTATGAAAAGTTTTAAGCATAGTTAATTGATCGAGTTTTTCAAGGACTATAAAACGGTCACCTTCTCTTAGTCTGTATTGCAAAATACAAAGAATTAGAGTTGAAAAATTATTCTTTTGGATTTGAAAGTGATAGAAATAGAAATTTCCCATTACTTCACCTATTTATTTCTATGGTATATAAAAAAAAACAAATGTTCAATATGCTTTTCTCTAGAGAATGAAACGATAAATCTTTTTAAAAAAATTTGAAGCCTGGACAATAAAAATTGAGCAAGATATTAACGAAATACGGAGACGGCCATTTATTCTGCTCCACCCGTTATATATGTACAGTGAAAATAATACAGTAATTCTTCTTCGGTAGATGCTTTTTGACACAGCTAGAGACGTTTCTTAACCAATACAATTAATATATTAGTCAGCTGGTAACAAAGTGTTAACACGATACTAGTGAAAGGCATATAGTAGTTCAGAAGACATCTAGAAATAGTAAACAAATTAAAAATCAAACGATGTCATATTATTTCTAGTCAAAACGCAAAAAAAGTCATAACTATTTACAGATTATCAGATGCAAATGAGACTATCTAATATCGTATAGAATAAATGTATGAAAAACAGGAACTAACAATGAACAATTTAATGATAATTAGTAATAATAGAAGGTATAGTTTGTTTCACTTGTGATCTGTTTGAATTGTACAACACATAGCATAACAAAAACAAAGTACAATCCGATGAATGCTATAGGATGATGTTTAGTGATTGTTATTCTGAATTTTTCTATGTAAAGGAAGTAGTATAAGAGCTGAGTATGTTATTCTGATAATGTCGCTACCAGTAGACTATCTAATAGAGTTATGTTGATGAATATGTCATTTTGGAAATGTTAATCGATTTGTTTGTCAAACATCCTTAAAGTTAATTTCATTTTGAATTATTCTTTCTTCTTTTTGTTTAAATTTATTCATTGTCACATTTTATCAACGATGTTTGGCTTTTTTTCGGTGACGTCTGACATATATATTCTTAACAGAGATTGAAAATATTTTATTTTATTTTGTTGTCAGTTATTTAATTAATGTAGAGTCCATATCGTTGACAAAATGTTATTGAACAAAAATAAATGAAAACTAATTCAAACTCGATTTATTTAGAGATTAGATTTCATGAACAAAAGATTTAAGATTTTTCCATTCTATTAATCGTCGGGTAATTCAGATGACATCTAGAATTAGAAATAGTAAATAAACTAGAAATCATATTAAATAATAAATAACTAAATTTTCTTATTTATTCTAATCAAAACGCGAGAGTCATAACTATTTACAGATTATCAGATTATGTAAATGAGAACATCTGACATTGCAGTTGTTCTAGTAAGTATCTCCCGTTGAATATTATATTGAACTTCTGGATACTTTTAAGAAAGCGTAAAAGTACGTAAGTGTCGACACAGAAAAGAACATTCAACGAAAGATTCCTACGTGCCTCACTTTATGCAAGCAAAATAACTGAATAAAGATCGTTCATAATCAAAATTGCCAGTTGGTCCACATTTTGCAGACAAATTCTGCTTTGTGTAGTTTTTTTCGCAATTTATTCGCTTTTCAAGGATTTTTTCCTTTTTGTCCTTTTTCCTGCAGTGAAGATTTTCACATTTTCTCATAAAAAATTTGCCACCCCGAATGACGTGTCAAAACAATGTTTTTGCAATTTTTATAAAACAGTGGGCCGTATCACAAAAAAAGCTAAGTCTGACTTAAGTCAAAATGTGGACTTAAGTCTATACCACTAACTTAAGTTTTACCGTATTACAAAAAAGCTTAAGTCACAGGGTGACTTAAGCCATGGAAAATGTAGTCTTAAAGTTAAGATCGAAAACTTAAGTCGGACTTAAGTAATTGACGCATTTTTCCAAATAGCTCAGGCATTTAACGATACAATTCGACAAAAACAAGATTCTAACGGATTAG